TAACACTGGGGTACAGCATTAGTGGGGACTAGCCTGTCACTGTATAACAGTGGGGTACAGCACTAGTGAGGACTAGCCTGTCACTGTATAACAGTGGGTACAGGACTGGTGGAGACAGGTCTGTTGCTGTGGATAGCAAGAACTGCAGATGCTGGAGTCAGAGTCAATACAGTGTGGAGCTGGAGGAACACAGCAGGTCAGGCAGCGTCATAGGAGCAGGAAAGTCAACATTTCGAGTTTAAACCCTTCATCAGGACTGGTGAAGAGCGTAAACTCGAAATGTTGACTTTCCTGCTCCTGTGATGCTGCCTAACCTGATGTGTTCCTCCAGCTCCACACTGTATTGACTCTGTCGTGTAGATGACTAGGGCACTGTACTGGTGGGCAAGCCTGCACTGCATAACATTGAGGTACAGTGCTGGTGGGGACAGGGTCTGTCACTGTACAGCACTGGGATACACTACTGGTGGGGACAGGTCTGTCGCTGTATAACACTGGGGGACAGTGCTGTTGGGGACAGGTCTGTCACTGTGTAACACAGGGCACAGTACAGGTGGGGACAGGTCTGTAACTGTAAAACACTGGCATACAGTACTGTTAGGGACAGGTCTGTTGCTGAATAACACTGGGGCATAGGACTGGTGGGGACAGGTCTGTTGCTGTATAAAACTGTGGTACAGGACTGATGGAGACAGGTCTATCAATGTACAACACAGGGTACAGTATAGGTGGGGACAGGCCTGTCAGTGTATGACACTGGGGTACAGGACTGGTGGGGAAAGGGCTGTCAACTGTATGACACTGGGGTACAGTACAGGTGGGGACTGATCTGTCACTGTATTATACTCAGGTACAGTACCTGTGAGGACAAGTCTGTCACTTATGACACTGGTATGTAGGACTGGTGGGGACAGGTCTGTCACTGTTTATCACTGGGGTACAGGGCAGGTCTGTCACTGTATAACGCTGGGGTATGGGCCTCGTGGGGTCAAGTCTGTTACTGGCACTGGAGTACAGTATTTTTGGGGACACGTCTGTCCCTGTCTAACGTTGGGCTATGGAACTCATGAAAACAGGTCTGTTACTGTATAAAAATGTGAAAACAAGTATTGCCTCAAGGTCTTGTTCTGATGTTAGCTGAAAAATCATCATTTGTCTCAATTTAACAAAAGGTCATTCCTGTTTTGGAAACATGACAAAGGTCAAGGGTGGTTCACTTTCTGCATAACAGCAAAATACTGCGGATGCTGAAAGTCTGAAACAAACACAGAGAATGCTGAAGAAACTCAGTAGAACTGGCAGCATCTGTCGAGAAACATACAGAGTTAATGTTTCAAGTTCTGTATGACTTTTCTTCAGAATTGGTTCACATTCTCAATTTGGTTCTTAGCAGGAGAATGTGGAGAGTAATCCTTAATGGCCCCTCCCACCCCCTCCACCTCTCTATCCCCCATCTCCCACCATCAGGAACCTTGGATCATCTAAATTTCTGCTGCTTGTGCCCCAACTGATCGATAAGTCCCATTCACAATCATTCATCTCCGTGTTCATTGCAGCTAGCTCCAAGAGAATTTCAACAGAGTATTCTGAATGAATCTCTCATATGTCCTCATCCGCATTTTCCATGGAGCGTTGGAGGTTGAGGGGTGACCTTATAGAGGTTTATAAAATCAGGAGGGGCGTGGATGAGGTGAATAGCCAAGGTCTTTTTCCTAGGGTGGGGGAGTCCAAAACTAGAGGGCATAGGTTTAAGGTGGGAGGGGAAAGATTTAAACGGGATCTAAGGGGTAACTTTCTCACACAAATGGTGCTGCGTGTATGGAATGAGCTGCCAGAGGAGGTGATGGAGGCTGGTACAATTACAACATTTAAAAGGCATCTGAATGGGTACATGAATAGGAAGGGTTTAGAGGGATATGGGCCAAATGCTGGCAAATTGGACTAGATTTATTTAGGATATCTAGTCAGCATGGACAAGGGTCTGTTTCCGTGTTGTACATCTCTGAGTTTAACTCAGGATTTGATCCAGGGCAGTGACCAGCAGCAGCCTCTGTGAAGAGTGAAACAGAGTTATAATGTTAGTTTCAGTTCTGAAGAAGAGTAATTCTGAACTTGAAACGTTAATTCTGCTTCTCTCTCCAGGACTGCCGAGTTTCTCCAACACTTTCTGTGTTTGTTTCAGTTTACCAGCATCAGCAGTACTTTGCTTTTATTAGAAATGAAAACCCACTTTATTTCTGTCCTCTGCAAAATCTGATAGTCAACTGTGTATTTCCAGGATGTTCCGTTTTCAGTTTGATTGCAAGATGCTCTGCTTTATATTATTTGACATAGCCCAGTTGGTACAGTACTTCATCGATCTGGAGGGCTTTGGAGAAGCTGAGGTTACTTTCTGTGGGACAGAGGAGGTGAAAAGCAGATATAGTGTAGAGGTAGTAAGAACTGCTGATGCTGGAGTCAGAGATAACAGTGTGGAGCTGGAGGAACACAGCAGGCCAGGCAGCATCAGAGGAGCAGGAAAGCTGACGTTTCAGGTTGGGACCCTTCTTCAGAAATGGGGGAGGGGAAGGGGGCTCTGAAATAAATTGAGAGGGGGAGGTCAAGCTGGGGAAGGTAGGTGGGATGGTGATAGGTGAGTGCAGGTAGGTAGTGCTGGGGATTGTTCAGTGGGATGGGAGGAGCGGATAGGTGCGAGAGAAGACGGACAGGTCGAGGCAGGGATGAGAGGGAGGGTTGGACTTGGGATGAAGCCGGGTGTGGGGAGATTTTGAAGCTTGTAAAATCCACATTGAGACCGTTGGGCTGTAGGCTCCCAAGGCGGAATGTGAGGTACTGCTCCTCCAGAATAAGGCAACCTAGATTTAAGACAGAGATGAGGAGAAATTTCTCAGAAGGGAATGAATCTGCGGAATTCTTTACCACAGAGGGCTATCAAGGCTGGGTCATTAAGTCAATCAACATCTTTTCTCTCCCAGCACTGTACACCACAACCCTACCCTCAACTTTAGCATAAATGCTGTCCCCTCCACACTTCACTTCAGCTCTGATTAAGAGTCACCTAGACTAGAAACGTTAGCTTGCTCTCTCTCCATTGGTGCTGCCTGACCGGCTATGATCTCCAGCATTTGTTGTTTTCATTAAGTGGATTCAAGGCTGAGAAAGACAGATTTCTAATCAGTAATCAAGGGATATGGAGGTCAGGCAGAAAAATGGGATTAAGGCTGATCCATGATCTCACTGAGTGGCAGAGCAGACTCAATGCAGACTGAATAGCCTCCTCATGCTCCTATAGCTTATGACCTCTTTCAGCATGCTGCCACAGGGCGACATTGGGCTGAATGGCTTCCTTGGTTGAATTCTGTACAATTCTATGATGGAGACATTGCAACCCTGCAGGAATAAAACAGTTAAAAGAAACCACACATGGAAGTGAATGTGCTGATCAGACTGGATTTCCAATTCAAAGTGCACAAGTTGGAACAGTGTGTCCCATTCAACAATTTTACTGGTTTCTCACTGTGGGAAAGATTAGCTGCTGAGTTTGTGTGTTTCTCTCTTCCAGTTCGGAGTGCTGCTGTGGTTGATGACATATGTCGGAGCCATATTTAATGGCCTGACCCTCACTATTCTGGGTAAGGAATAAGGCGCGCCTGTCGAAGTTACCAAATCTGTAAAGCCAGCCTGCAGGGTTGTTCTGGCTCCCACTCTGGCTCTGCCAGGAGCACACTCCCGGACTGGGAGAGGCCCGGAGTTTCTGTAAGGATTCTCCCCATTGACACATTTGCAGAGTCTTGGTCAAACAGCTTTGACAATGTGAACTGGGCAGCAGAAATCCCGGGGGGAGCAACAGAACTGAAACTCACTTAATGACAGACACAGCATCTGGTGTGAAACTGAATCAGTCAAGCAGGAAGAGCTCAGAACCTATCTTTGTCCTCTGCTGAGTAAACTGACCCCATGTAAGGTGAACCTGAACATGACTTAATTAGCGAAATGGGTCAGATAGAATTTACCACTTTACTCCTTTTAATGCTTTGCATTTAACATGGGTAAAGAACCAGGGAACTTCAGTGCATGTGCAGAGACTAGAGAAACTGGGATTGTTCACCTCAGAGCAGAGAAAGCTAAGGGAACATTTTATCAACATGTTCATTATGATGAGGAGTTTGTGATAGACCACGTTTCCACCTGGCTGGAGGGTCACTAACCAATTGGCCCAAATTGAAAATAATTGACCAAGAAGCAGAGGAGGAAAATTTATTTTTATGCAGTGAGTTGTTATGGTCTGGAATGCACTGTCTGAAAAAAATGATGGAAGCAGATTCAATAGGAACCAAAGGAAAAATTGGAATAATTCTTGAAGTGTAAACATATTGTAGGACTATCGGTAAAAAAGCAGGATCAGAGGGGACTGGGACTAAGTGGAGAGCTCTTTCAAAGAGCTGGTGTGGGGTCAATGGACCAAATGGCCTCTAACTGTGCTGTGAGATGATGTACTTGTACAATTGATGACCATGGGGATGAAAATTTATCAGGGATATGCAGGAATGTAGAGTTGAGGTTAAAATCAGTTCAGCTATGATCTTATTGAATAGTGGAACAGACTCAATGGGCTGATTGGCCTACTCTTGTTCATATGTTTGTATTTAAAGTTACTCTCAGTAACGATGACCACAACAAGGATCATTGGTAATTATTTTAAAAATCCATCTGGTTCACCAACATCTGTTTGGGAAGTAAATTAGCCATGCTTACCCGGGCTGGCCTACACGTGAATTCCTACCCATCACAATGGGTTGGCTCTTATTTGCCATCTGAAATGGCTGAGCAAGCCATTAATTCACTGGTTATTTGGGACAGGTAACAAATGCCAGCCTTGCCAGTGACATCCATGTCCCATGGACGAATAAAGTTTTTAGAAAACACTCCACATGCCGTGATTTGTTTTCTCTTGTTTTCAGCAACAGTCGCCATCTTCATTGTTCCTTTGGTGTATCGGAAACACAAGGTACGTATTGGAGCCACCTTCTCCACCTCGGCCTCCTGCCATTTACCAGATGTGTAAAACCTGTAAAGATTGACATATAGCAGGAGGTAGAGCTTGGCCTCAGTGCCATGAGGGCAACCATTGAGTAGCTGATTCCTTCCAATATCCCCTCGCTGGGTAGTGTGTGTCTGTGTGTGTGTTGGTGTTTGTCTGTGTGTATTTGTGTGTACGTCTGTGTGTATGTATTTATGTGTCTGTGTGTGTGTATTTCTGTGTGTGTCTGTGTGTATTTGTGTGTCTCTGTGTCTGTGTCTGTGTGAGTATGTCTGTGTGTGTGAATGATCTGTGCTGTATAAGGAGCTCTGGCTGTGTGATAAGAATGGCCTCCCCCTATCTTACTAACCTCTGTGACTTTACTGATATTTCCATTTCTCCATCAGGTTCACATCAATCAGTACCTGGGGCTGGTGAGAGGACAGATCAAGGAATTCACAGCAAAGTACGCTTCTCTTTATTGGCTTCAGATAATGGTCTCTACTATCCATCTCCCCCACTGCCCCCCAACCTCCTCCCCCCTGCCCCCCTCTCTCCCTCCCCTCCCCCCCTGTTCCCCTCCTCTGACCCCCTCCCCCATTGACCACTTTCTCCACTGTACCCACCCTATTGACACCCATCCCCCCGCTGACCCCTTCCCCCACTGACCCCTACCCAACTGACCCCCTTCCCACTGAACCACTCCCACTGACCATATTCCTCACTGAACCCCCACATTGACACTTCTCCCCGACTTTCGCCCTTCCCCACTGACTCCCCTCCCCAACTGACCCCCTGCCCCGCTGACACCCTCCCCTACCGAACCCTACCCCATTGAACCCCACTCTCCCCCACTGAACCCCTCACTCCCCCATTAACACCCCTCCCCAATTAAACCCCCTTCCTCACTAACCCTCTCCCACTGACGCTGTCTCCTCCTGACTGTCCAATCCCCCTGACCCCTCTCCCACTGTACAACAGACAAACACGTTTGCTCACAAACCCCAGCCCCAGATGTTCTCCTGTGCGAGTTGCTGAGTCCATGCCAGTTAGGCCTCGATAGCCGGGAGCAGACCAGAGGAAGCTCCATCTCTCTTCAGTCGGTCTCTCTTTCTCTCTTCACAGGATCCAGGCCAAGCTCCCAGGATCCAAACCCAAAGCTGAATGAGAAAATCAAGAGGTGAACCCACAGTCACTGAGCAAACTCCTGGACCCACCAATGCAATTAATCTTTATAATCGAGAGTCTTAACCGCCCACAAGTCAGAGCACAGGGACCGAACATCTTTTTAAAAGGCTACATATGTCACTTGACCCAAGGGACAGCCTTTCAGATTAAGTTATCTTTTAATGCAGGACACAATCCTACTCCACCTGCTGGCCTCTTCACAACAGCGATACCTCACAGGAGCCTGGATGGAGTGTGAACATGGCTTTATTAGTTAATAAATTCAGAATTTAGCCTGAGGGGGCTGTGGATCTAGAGGAGGGGAGGGATGGGTATTGTAAGGAGGCCAGGCCTTGTGAGTGAAGGGAGTTAAGAGTTCAGGGAGGGAGTTATACATTGAAAAGCAGAGACAGGAGCTGTAGACAAAAAAAAAACAAAAGAACTAGGGTCTCTGCTGTTCGATATGATCATAGCTTATTTTCTACCTCAGCTTCACTTTCCCACCCACTTTCCACCTCCCTCTGATTCTATAAGAGGCCTTATTTATACTAGATATTGGAGCATCCTTAAGCCTCTGAGGTACAGTGCTGGGTGACATCTTTAGGTAGAGGGTGGTTAAAGTATAGAGTTGTAGGATGAGGGGATCAGGCAGAAGGGGTTTAGGGTGTAGAGGTGAAAATGCTCCTTCAGAGGCACTGAGTCACCAAACATGGAATTATCATTTACAGCCAGTGGTTTGAAAGGTTCAAGATTTACACAAAACCTCTCAGTCTGAAAACTTCTCATCCCTTTTATTTCTTCGACGGAACTTGGGTATCAGTGGCAAGGTCAGCATTTGTGGCCTATCCTAGCTATGCTGGTGACTGCTGCTGTGGGGGGTCTGGAGTCACATGTAGGCCAGACCAGGTGAGGGTGGACAGATTTCCTCTGCTTAAAGGGACATTAGTGAACTGGATGGATTTTCACAACCATCAATAGTTGCTCACTAGGACTCGCTTTCAGTTGGGATTTCAACCCACACCCCCAAACCCTTCTACTGTGCTACTGGATTGCTAGCCCAGGGATGATCCCACTATGCCGGCCTCTCCCCTTAAGAGCTTTATGTTTCCGTATGGATAACCTTTGAGGGTGGGTTTGGCTGTGAGACCCTTCATGTCTGATGTCTTGCTGTCTTGGTCAAACTTGAGAAACAGCCACATGAATATGTCCACCCAATGTTCATGGAAACACCAACCCTCAAAATGTGACAACTGTGAGAGACACTGGGGCGAAAAAGCCTGTATGTATTTTTTTTAATGGTGCTTGCTGCATATGAACTAAAGCATCAAAAATTATGATATATTACAAATGCTACATCTGCATGCAATTCCCATTAACTTTTCCTCCTACTATTTAATTGTGAAGTCCATGTCTCAAAGTCTCGGTAAACGATGTGACACTGTAATAGCATCCTTCCCCCAGTGGTGGTCCCTGCAGGCCTGACAGGAGGTCGGGATTATAACAGGGGAAAGGTCCCAGCTGTAGGTGACAGCACAAGGCAGGTGACTGTGAGCAGACTGTCCATCATATACCATCAAACTATAATTCAGTAATTAGCCAGGAATGTGATAGGAGCCAGTTCATGCCTGTCTCTTGTTGTGCTGCCAGCTAATGTTAAAGATCATGCTCAGCAATATCCTTGAAAAACACAGAGTTAGGAACTTATAATAGGAATTTAACAGTTGGAAATGAATTTACACAGGGAAGTAAATTACACTCCACAAGCTCTGGTTCTATAAACCCCACCTATATATCTTCTGAGAACATAAACTGACATTGTACATATACTTCTAAGTTAAACAGTGATTTACTTCAGTATTCTGCACTTTTTAAAAGTCATTCACAGGGTGAGGGCATCACTGACCAGGCCAGCATTTATTGCCCATCCCTAATTGTCCAGAGGGCAGTTAAGAGTCAACCACAATGATGTGGGTCTGGAATCACACGCAGGCCAGGCCAGGTAAGTCATGATGTGGAGGTGCCGGTGTTGGACTGGGGTGGACAAGGTCAGAAATCACACGACACCAGGATATAGTCCAACAGGTTTATTTGAAAACACCTGACGAAGGGGTACGCTCCGAAAACTTGTGTTTTCAAATAAACCTGTTGGACTATAACCTGGTGTTGTGTGATTTCGATCCTAGACCAGGTAAGGATGGCAGTTTCCTCCCCTAAAGGACAATAGAGACCCACAAGTTTTTTCCTGACAATCAATTCACAGTCATCCTTGACCTCCTAATTCCAGATTTTTATTGAATTCACATTCCACCATCTGCCATGGCAGGATTTATACCAAGATCCCCAGGCCATTACCTGGGTTTCTGGATTATAACAGATCAGCGATAATACCACCAGGCAGTCCATCATCTCCCCTGATTGCTGCTTCCAGTGTAGTCAGCCTTCCTGTGGGGAGACCAAACGAAAATGAGGTGACCATTCAGCAGAACACTTTGGTTCGGTCAGCAAACATGACCCAAGCATCCGGACTCCTGTCATTGGAACACTCCACTTTGCTCTCACCTTGACCTTGGCTTGCTGGGGTGTCTCAGTGAAGCTCAGTGCAAATTCACAGAACAGCATCTAATTTTTCAGTTGGTTACTTCACAGCCTTCTGAACTCAACAATGAAATTATTAATATCCGGCCATAATCTCCTCATTGCCATCCTGTCTCCTTTTCTTTGTGCGAACCGGTTTTGCCTGTTTTTTAGCTTTCAAAGGATGCCTCATCTAGACACTTCTTTTGTTTATTTCCACCCTCAGGTGTGCATGACTGATTTTTCTGACATTTAATCTCTCCTGTCTTTCATTTATTCACGGACCATTCTCTTATAGCTAGCCTGTTCTTGAACTATCAAATCTCGAATACTTTCTTATACTGACGAAACATTAACCGTCTTTTCTGCTAAGTATTTCCATTATTTTCTGACTTTTTTACCAATTCCCAGCAGCATTTTGCTCTTTCAACATAATCAAAAAGTTAAAACATTTAAAAGACACTTAGATAACTACATGAATGAGAAATGTTTGAAAGGATATGGGCCAAGCACAGGGAGGTGGGACTAGCTGAGTTTGGGATTATGGTCAGCATGGAATGGAATAGAATGGCCTGTTTCCATGCTTTATGACCCTATTATTGAAAAGTTAAAAAGTATTGCTGTGAGCACTTTTGGCTTGTGTCCAGATTAGAATATAACATAAAGAAATTTGATCCTTCGCAACACGCATGGCTGATGAAAGAATTTTATGTTACTCTATAGTCATGCATCACAATGGAAGGCAGTGATGCAGTGGTAATGTTGCTGGTCCAGTAACCCTGACGCCCAGGTAAATGCAGTGGAGCCATGGGTTCCAATCTAACCATTGAGTGGGTGGAATTTAAATCTGAATCGTAAATCAGAAATTAAAATGGTAGCCACAGTGACTGTGAAACTATTGTCAATTTATTGTAAAGCTATCTAATGCCCCTAAAGGGAAATATGCTGTCCATATCTGGTCTGGCTTACATGACTCCAGTCCCCACAGCAATTTGGTTGGCTCTTTACTGCCCTCTGAAATGCCCAAATAAGACACTCAATTCAAAGGCACTTGGGAACGGGTAATAAATGCTGGCTTTGCCAGTGTGAAAGAATAAAGGGGAGAGAAATGATCTCCTTTGGGATTTCTCTGGATTACTCCAGTGGTCACAATAATCAAAATGCTTTCCAAAAGCTTGTAAGCCAGTGAATGCTGACACCAGGCACAGGAGACTGACACATGCACTAAATCTCAACCACAATCTGACTGCTGGGGTGGCTCAGTTTAGTAATGCACCTACCTCTTTGTGAGACTCTCTGCCAACTGCAGAGTATCTGGGCATTACCACACCGACGTTGCTACACGCAAATTAGTCACTGTGTTTCTGACAGCTTACAAGATGCAAAGTGGGCTGCAGTGGCAGTGTCCCCATCTCTGGTTCAGGAGGCCCAAGTTCAAGAGGTGTGAAATAAGAATCTCTGAACAGGTTGATTAGAAAATCACTACAAGATACAAAGTTCAGTGGGATGTCCTGCAATGGTAAAACTTGCTATATCAATGCATTGCTTTTCTATTTGGAAGATACGTTTTTCTGAATAAAATTGTGGCTAACAATATCTCACACTGGCTAAGAGGGAGGTTCAGTTTTTCTCTGACGGTTTCAACCTCACTGCCTCTTACTGTCTGCAGATCCTCAGCAAGTTATATCATTTTAATTTGCAGCAGCTTCAGGAAAGGAGGTGAGGAGGAAATCTACTATTTTGAAATGTGTCACTTTTGATCACAGTGGGGTGTTGCTAGCCAATTCATTGGGCCCTGTGCTCTATTGATCAAGTCTGAATTTGTTAAAGAACCTATACCTGCATCTGAAACAGTGCAATAAAGGAGGTTTTCCTCAACAAGCAGTGTGTGACTTATATCTCAACACCAGTACAAGACCAGAGAAGGAATGGGAAGAAGGGAAAGTATGAGATAGTGGGAGGGATAGTGAGATGGTGAGAATGTGAGAGGGAGTACAAAAGAAAGGAAGGGGTGAGAGAGAAAAAGAGGGAAGGTGCTGGGGGAGAAGACAAAAGGGAGAGGAAGGTAACAGAAGGAGACAGGGAGGGGCAGTAGAGAGAGGGAGGGAGAGACGGAGAATAAGAGGCAGGGACAAGGAGACAGAGAAGGCAGGGAGGGAAGGGACAAATAATGAGAAAGGGAGGAACAGAGAATGAAAAAGAGGGAGGGCTGAGGAGGAGGAGGGACAGAGAGAGAGAGGGAAGGAAAGAGACGGTGGGGAAGAGAAAGGGAGGGATTTGAGGAGAGAAGGGAGGAGGGACTGGGGAAAGGAATGGGGAAGGGAGAGGAGCAGAGGGAGGGAGGAGCAGATAGAGGGAGGGTCAGACAGTGGGAGGGAATGAGGGAGGCAGCAAGGGACGGGAGGAGTAAGGGAGAGGGAGTGACAGGGAGGGTGGGGCACAAGGTGGGAGGGACAGAGAGTGGGAGGGAGGGACTGGGGATTGACGGACGAAGGAAAGCCACAGAGAGAGCGGAGTCAGCAGGGAGCTAGTGATTTGGAGGGGAGCTGGGCAGGAGCAGAGGCAGGACGATGGGGAACACGGACTCGGGGATGCTGGAGGACACTGACCCCTCTCTCCTAGAGGAGCCCAAGGTCCCTCCCGTGGCGACCGGCCCCGGTAGCCGGGAGAACCCGCTGCGGTTCCAGGGTCAGGACTACGAGCAGATCCGGAGCGAGTTGCTGCGGGACCAGAAGCTTTTCGAAGATCCCAAATTTCCTGCAGCCGCGGAGTCTCTGGGATCAGTGAAGGAAACGGGGATCGAGTGGATCCGAGCCAATGTAAGATCAGGTCGATCAAAGTGGGAACCAGGGAAGACAGACTGGGATGGACTGAGGGAACAGAGAGAGAAAAGTTTGTGAAAGTTCAGGGACTTTGTTCCTCAAAGTGATCCTTGCCCTTCCCAACTATCCCAGACTGGAAGATTCCAGACAGTACAGTGAGAGCAAAACACCAAAGACCTCCTTACATTCTCTCATGTGTTGTGTGTCCTTTTCACATAGCATTAATATCAGTATCTACAGGGGGTCCCAGGGGGGAGTGTGTCAATATTGACAGAGGGTCTCCAGGGAGTGTGTCAGTATTTACGGGGAAATGTACAGAACCTTGGAGCTAGTTGTGGTACCACTATGGAATTTACATGATTTTGGACACTCTTCAGCTATGTAAACGTCTATGGAAGTCTGAGATGTTTGCAGATAGCAAAGCAAGTTTGAAACGTTCAATGTTAATTCAAATTGCAGGAACTGTTTACAAAGCCCCGTTTTCTTCTGGATTCGTTTAGCCGCACAGATATTCGCCAAGGCATACTCGGTGAGTGTCAATCCCTCTCTGTGAATCTTTCTCTGCTCCTTAACGTTGCTACTCGCACTGGCACAGCCGGGAGTTCCGGTTCATTCCTTGGGAAATATTGTTTCGTTTTACTCTCCAGCGTGTACCTGGATGGATAAGATCACAGAGTACACCACGAAATTCAAAGGTACAAGGTGAAAGAATCATTTGATTGACTTCCTGGTCCCCAGCACCACTCGGGACAATAAATTGAAATAAGTGTCATAAAGCTGGCCTGCTGTTAGCTTAACCCTTCAAGGTGAGCCTGAAGTGTAGTGTAGCCCGGGGGTAGTGTAGAAAGTTTTACTGTGTTTTAACCCTGTGCTGTGTTTGTCCTGAGAGTGTTTCATGGGACAGCGTAGAGGCAGCTTCACTCTATCCAATCTCAAGCTATCCCTGTCCTAGGAGTGTTTGACGGGACAGTGTAGAGAGAGCTTTACTCTGCCTCTAACCCTATGCTGTCCCTGTCCT